CTGCCGTGCAGTCCTGAGCCCACAAATTTTGTCCGAAAGCAAAAAATCAAGTTTATTCATATTTTATAAATATTTTATTATTAAGTGAACTAACTTTTAAGTGAAAATATTAAAAATTGACACTACTTTAAAAAAAATTTCGATTTTTTGCCTACTTTTTTGCAACTTTCTTATTTTAAAAAAGGTACTACAAATTTTTTTTCTTTTCAAGTTTAGTTCACTTAATAATAAATTTAATAACGAACAATTTCCAATTTTTCATTTTAAAATCGGTCAATAACTTTTTGAGCTACACTGCACGGCAATTTTAAAAATCCTGTTTTGAGAAAAACGCATTTAAAAAAATAGTATCAAAAATTGATATTTAGGGGAGAGTCTCCAGTTGTGAGACACCTCCAGTTGTGAGACAGTCAATTTTTTTTAACATGCAATATTAAAAAGCCGATTGGTTTATATAAAAACATTTCTTTTTATATGAGCCAACTTTTTCGTGTACGCCGAAGCGGATATATAAACTGTTTTTGTTAAATACCAACACTGTGTGTGATAATCGACTAAAAAGCGTTTTTTCAATAAATGCAAAGCACTTTTTTTCCAAGTTAATTAATTGGAAAAGGTAAATGTAATGCATTTTCTTTTAGTGCTTTCCTTATATTTCGTGATGCAATATTGCATTGTTCCAATCTACGGTTGAAAATTATTTAATTTTCCTTTTTCAAAATAGCGCCAATTTCTGGGTGTGAGACACAGCATATCACCAGTTGTGAGACGGTGTCAACACTTATCTGGGCAGCATAAAAAATACGACTTTGCAGGCATACTATTTAAATGTTGTTTTTATTTTTTTTCTAGTATTTTTGGGCATGTCAAGTGGAAAATAGTTATTTATGATACAAGTGCGTAAAATCGTTGATTATACGAGTGTGACGTTTGCAGCTCGAGCCGAAGGCGAGTGCTGCAAGTCACACAAGTATAATCTGATTTACGCACGAGTGCCATACAAAATTTTTTGCAACACTAAAACAACTATACTTGCAGCAATATTGCTAATATTACTGTAACTTTAGGTGTAGTGGGGAACTGTTAAATGAAGTATTCTAGAAGCTAAAATAAAAAAATGTGATTGTAAATTGTTAATTAAAAGCATTATTTCATTGTTTCTCATCAAACAGTCACAAGAATGCGTAAAGTAACCTTTTTACGCACTGAAAATCACTTTACACACTGGAATCCACTTTACACACTGCTAGCGGTGTGTAAAGTAACACTTTACACACCGCTATAAAAAGAAGTACTTTACACACAGTTTTCTGTGTGTAAAATTCAATTTTACAGGTTAGTGTTGCAAAAAAGTCAATTGATTCAGAAGAAATCAATTTTAATGCTCTTGTTGAAGCTATTAAATTGTTTTTATTTGATAGTCATATTTTGGCGAATAAATATTATTATTATAATGATTCTAAAACTGGCACCTTATTATTATGGCACCTGTTTATTACCTTCAAGACTGTAATTTTGAACTGAAATAAAAAATATTCTTTTTTGTTTAAGACAACATAAACTTTTTTATAATAAAAAACTGGGTACTGGTTTAAGATTTATTAAAAAAATATTAAACCATGTAAAGTATTTCTGTAATTATATTAATTTTTTAATAAAACAAGGCAAACTCAAGGACGAGATCAAGCATTTTTAAAATGATTCTAGAAAGTTATTTAAATTTCTTTACAAGTTTAATTGTTGAAAAAGTAGATAATGTTAGTGACTTAGACGGGAAAGTTGTTAATTTATTACTTGCATTTCTTAATTACAAAAAAAAAATCATTTTATATCACTAAAATGTAGTATTTTACACAATTTTTAAAAACTTACCTCCTTATCCTTATTTTTAATCACAAAAATTTTTTTCGTCTTTTAATTTTGAAAAGAGAAAAAAAGTGTTCTTCACATTGCACTTTTATTTTTCTGTATTATATAATGCGAAAATCTGTTAATAAACAGACTATAACTACACTGTAAAAAAAGAGAGTTAAATTTTAACTCCCCAGGGGATTCTATAAAAGTTGCACCCATTGAGGGTGGTATTGAAAAAATAACTCGCGCGGGTGTTGAATGAAGGGAGTTAGAAATTAACTCTCTTTTGGAGTTGATTTTTAACTCGAAAAATTTCACTCCTAACTCCCGAGTCCGTTAACTCCCTAAATTTTTTACAGTGTATATATGTATACTCAAGTATAAAATAGACTACCAACTCTCTCTCTCTCTCTCTCTCTCTCTGATCACTCAATAGACTGCCTACTGGTTGAAAGAAACCCTTCAAACAATAGGCCAGGTACTCGAGCAGGCCTTTCGTTTCTCTTTAAATTTTATATATATATATATATATATTTCAAATATCTTTCTGTCTTCTTCTTTCTAAATAAATAACATAAATCGGTCCCTGTTTATAACGCAGAAAATCTAACGTTATTGCTTTCTTCCTCTTTCCAAATAGAAATAACATAAATCGGTCTCTGTTTATAACGCAGAAAATCTAACGCTATTGCTTTCTTTCTCTTTCGAGGATAAGCAACATTAGACTGTCTCTCTTTAATACCTAATTTGCATATCTACTCGTTTCATATTAAGGATAACTCGGTCAAAAATTGATCAAATTGGACGTTTTTATAATGAAAAGTTTTGTTTTCACGCGTAGTTCTTAATAAAAATATTTTTAAAAAATTTTTAAATAATTTACGATAAGATTTTAAAATTTTTTTAATAAAATTTCATTTTTAACAATGTATGTATTGATCAATTTTTTTCAAAATTTTTCGTAAGAAACTAGCACTAAATTAACAATTCTTAAGTCTTGTCCGATCGTGGGCAAACGATGGGATCTATTTATTTTGAAATTTTTAATTTTTATATACGCAGTGGTGGTCAAATGACTAACTTGCCATTTGACCAAATCACAATTTTACACAGAAAGAAGGTTAAGTTTAGAGAGAGACTTAGTCTGAAAACACATTTGTTGTAAAAAATTTGTTTGATTTTGTCAAATGGCAAGTTAGTCATTTGACCACCACTAAGTATATATAAAAATTTCAAAATAAATAGATCCCATCGTTTGCCCACGATCGGACAAGGCTTAAAATTGGTTAATTTAGTGCTAGTTTTTCACAAAAAATTGATCAATACATACATTGTTAAAAATATAATTTTATTTAAAAAATTTTAAAATCTTATCGTAAATTATTTAAAAAATTTTTAAAAATATTTTTATTAAAAACTACGCGTGAAAACAAAACTTTTCATTATAAAAGCGTCCAATTTGATCATTTTTTGACCGAGTTATAAGCATTTAAAGAAAAGATTTACGTAAAAAACGTCATTTTTCAAAAATCTGTATCTCCTGAACCGCTTTATGAAAAAAATCAAGGTAGCTTATTTCAAAGAGTTCTAAAAGAAAAAAATGTTTAAAAAAAATTTGAGATGCAAAAGCAAAATGATTTCCGATTTGGCCTGGAATTCCCCATATAATATTTGATATAAATGAGTCAAAAATTTTCAAAAATAATTTTCTTCTACATTAGAAAAAAGAATTTTGTTTTTTCTATTATAGTACAAAATACACAAAGTCTACTATATTAATAATAACATGATCTTTTTCCGTAATTTTTCTTTTATCTATAGAGAAAATTTTTCAAGAGAATATTATTTACTATTCTGTGAAAAGGTTGAAATTCTTTTCTTCACATTTGGTGAAAAGTGAAGTGACTTTTTTAATATAAGCGCTTCCGTCTTGGAGCAAAACGAGCATCGTATACTTTTGCTGGACGGCGCAAGGGATTCGTCTCGAGCTTTTTTTCGGAATGGAAGAAAGGTATGGGGAGGGGGGAGAGAGATGGTTCATGTGAAAGAAGAAGAAGAAGAAGGTGGCGGTGGTTTTGGGATTCCTGAAAGGGTGGTGGGAAAAGCTTGAGAGGGTGATATGCTCGGGGTGCAGAGCAGTCAGTGCGCGGCGAGGCGCGCCAGCTGCCGCACGTCATGATACTACCCCAGGTGAGCAACCACGAGTTCTCTCTCTCTCTCTCTCTCTCTCTTTATTTTTCCTTTCCTTCTCTCTCTTTCTTTTTGTCACTCTCATATTTTACATTGAAAAGAAATTACAACAATTTTTCTTTTTGTTTCTTTTTTTTAAAGTTAAAAAAAGCAATACTAAAAAACTTGAGAAAGTTTTTTCTAATACCGCTACAGGAGAATAAAACAGTAAAAAAAACCGCGAGTGCGTCGATTATTATTTTACATGAAAAAAAAATTACGCACATCTATTTTCGCATGATACATTCGTTTATGCACGACATTAAATACGCTCCAGCTCACGCCGAGGGAAATGGATTATTTACAACTCTCGTTACTCAACCCCATGAAAAAAAATTTTTTGCCCACAATATAAAAATTTTTCAACTAAATTGTTGAAATTTAAAGTTACAAAAAATTGCTAAAAAACGAAGTCTGAAGAAATACAATAAAAACGATAATATATCTCAGTGATGGAAGAAAAAAGGAAACAATCTGTTTCTTTCGTCGTTAATTGCACCCCTGAGTGTTTCCCGTTTACTAGATTTATCAGTGTACGATTAATTAGGATAGTGTGTTTGTCGATCCTTGGAAGATAATTTCTTATCTGAAAATTGATCGTTTCGCGTGTCGACGACTTTGTTTTTTTTGGTGATCGTTTTGTATAGATCATAATCGATTATGGCAATTATTTTCTCAAATATCTGAATTGCGATGGTCAATTTGACCTGAAATTGGAGACAAAACAAAAGACGCATTCAACTCTCGTGAAAAAGTCTTTTTACAGTTTGAAAATGAACATTTACCCTACTAATCGTCAAATTTGATAAAAAGTTTACTCAAAAACATTAAACAACTTTTGCTGGTGGAAATCGTTCGTGCTAGGAAAAAAAACGAAGAGAGAAAAAGTGAATTCGCTTCCGCAACAGGTTTTTTTGTGAACACTTTCATTTCCGACGGATTCGCGAGTTCTTGTGGTTTTTGAAACTGAAATTTTGCCAACGTTTCAACAAAAAAAAGGAGAAAATATGATTTCGAAAGTGATAATAATGGAAATGACCACGATAATTGAGAATAATTACTAATATCTACAATTGAAGGAGTTTTCTGAATATTTACAAAGGTGGGAAATTATTATATGTAGAATTATGGTATTGCAGCACCTGAGGATAAAAATAAGAGGATATTTTTAAATTTTCCCTTGAGCATTCAATAATGTTACTACAGGAAAAAAATTATTCACTGCTTTTTTTTAGTGCAACGTAGAAATTTTTAATTACATATGGGGATTTTATGTGTTAAAGTGAAGTGATGAAATTTGGATAGCCGTTTTAACAGATTAAAGTACAGCAGTTATTGAAATTACATCAATGAATTAAAAATGCAATTAACAATTATTGAAATTTTCGTTTTGTTTCGACATTCCATTATTACTTTGCTTGAAACTGAATGAAAGAACCAATAACAACTGAATAAGAACATTAAATCTAATTTAATATTTTATTTTAAGTAAAATTAAATTAATTTTTTTAAAAACTAAATTAAATTATTTCTTTAAAATTATATTAAATTCAATTAAATTTAATTTATTAAGTAATTATTACTATTATTATTATTTCTACATTGCAAAAAAAATTTATTTGATTCAAATAACCAATTACTTGAATATTTTAAATTAAATATTTACTTGAATCAAATAATATTTAATTGATAATAACCAAGTAATCGGTTATTCTGAATCAAATTAATTTTTTTTTAGTGTAATTATTAATATTTTAATTATCTCATTCTTTCATTTAATTGTTTATTTTTATTTAAAGAAAACCAATTTTTGTCATTTAAATAGTTATTTTATATTTTCATTGAATAGTTAGTTTTATTTATTTTCATAAAAACAAATTTTATAGTTGACTATTTTATTTATTTTAAATATAAATTGAATGGTTCTATAAATTTTCTATTGAAATAGATAGTTATTATTAATTTGTTATCTGTTAAATATATTTGGAGCGAATATTTCTGAAGTGTACCGATCTCAAATTTACAGGTTGTCAGAATAGTGGATTTTTGAAAAAATGTTTTAAAAAAATTCTATATTTGTCCCTTTTCGAAAACTAAAAAAATCTACATTTTTATAAAAATTTGCTTCTCTGCAAATACGTGATAGTGGACAATTCTCACCATAATTAGTACGATGGAAGGGTATACGGAAAGTGGTTACACTTCTAGTGGAAACAATCGGCGCCGATAAAGAAATAAGAGATAATATGCAAGGAGAATCTATATGACCGTTAAGTATGTGGGAAAGAAAGTTTAAATCAGAAAATAAAAATCGATACTTTATTCAGGGAATTTTAAATATGGAACGCAGTTCTAGATAGTCATGTGAAAATCTGATAATTAATTTAAAAACTTCTCATACAATCTTTCTAAAATATATATAATTTCTTATCAATTTTTATTTTTTAAATAATTAATATCTTCAAAACAAAGAAAAACGTCATTTTTTTAATTTTGATTATTAAAATTTTTTATTTTAAACTTTATTTTAAGGCAAAAAGAAAACAAAAAGAAAGGTACTTTTTTAAAATAAAAGTCGAAAATATATTTAAAAAAGAGTTAAATTTTTAAAATTTTACAAAATTTTTTCTGCAATTGTAAAGAGTAAAAATATACCTTTGGAAAATGTGTAGGACAATATTTTTTCACACTGTTCTTTAATAGCTATTATTGTTTAAAAAACCGACTGTGATAAATTTAACCCATATTTGTATTAATTATTAGTACTATTATTAATAATAATATTATAAAAATAAAATAAATAGAAATAAAAAACATTATATTATTATTAAATATTAAGTAATTTTAAACTACTACTCAGTGAAATTTAACGTATTGAAATCGTGACAATAACCACTATCAATTAGTTGTTTTACTGATTCGCTTTTCGGGAGTGAAATAAATTTTCTTTAAATAATTTATTATTGGGTTTTCATTGTAGTGACGTGTTGATTGAAAAACGCTTTGAATACGAATAAGAGGATTAATTAAAATCTTTATTGTGGCGGAGAATTTTAAGCGTAATTGAAAAAATTAAACTTAAATTTAAAAGAGGGTAGAGTTTTTTCTAAAAAATCTTGTATTGATAAATTCAACATCTGTTTGAAAAATCATTATTATTGAATGAGAATCACTAGAGGGACAAGTGTTACTTAATAGCAAACAGGAGAATGGATTTGTTGTTTGTTTGGGATTTTTCACAACAGGGAGAGAGAAAGAGAGGAAAAGTTTAAAAAAATCTGCTTTGTTAAAATTCGTGATGTTTAAACATTATGTTTCAACTAAATTAACAGGCACTATTGAAACGGAAATTAAAAACAGTGTACAAGATTTTGTTTTGATACAAATTTACTTTTTCGACTGCAATATAAAACGCAATAATGTCTGATTAAAACTGTCTTTCACTACTGACACTCAATTTTCTCTATGACTTGTTTTTAATTTACACGAATTTTAAGTGCCTTAATGTGAAAATTTTTTTAATTTTAATTCTTAGTAGGACTACTTTTTAACTACTCTGCTTAGTTCAATAAGTTCACAAACAATTTAAAAAATTTGTATTCACCACCAAAAAGTAGTTAAAAGAAGTGAGGATGTAGTTAATAAAATAAAATTTTGTATTTGTTTTTAAAATTTAACTACTTTTCTTAGTAGATTGAATTCAAAATTTTCTACTACATAACAAATTGTAAAATTTACTATTTAATCTGAGATAGATTAACTAAAAAATAATTTCTTTGACTACTTTTCACTCTAGTACTCAAAGTTGTTGAAATTTTAGAACAAATTTTTTTCAGTGTATTCTACTTTATACCATCAAAGTTGTTACAAAAATATTATGTTACCCAGTACAATCATAACATTACTCCCTACAATCTGGTTTGCCTCTAATACAATCTAGATGTATTATACATAACTAGATTATTTCTCAATTAAAATAAGTATCAAAACTACACTGAAAAAACAAAGTCTAAAACCGTTTATAGCTTAAAACCGAAACGATTAAAACGAAACCTATTTTTAAGATTAAAACTAGATTAAGTCAATTTTAGAACTTAAAATAATTATACTCTAAAGGCTAAGAATCAGTCTAAAATGTTTCTAATGTAAATGGCTTTAGTCAAAAATGGACTGAAAGTAAGATTTATTTTTTACAGTAATAAATAACATGAAAAATCTTTGCCTGACTAAAAACTGTCTTTAACTATATTTATTTTCAAATTTAAAAGAATTTTTATAATTTCTCCGACTGAACAAGTATTTTATTTTACTCGATTATTTTTCAATCTAATTGAAAATTGTCTTTCACTAGTTACTCCCAAATTTAATTCAACTTTAATATAGTTTGTCTGACAGAATTAGTATTTTACTACTGACACTAAATAAACAAAAGTGACGGAATTTACAATTTTAAATATTTGTCTGACCAAAACCAACTATCTCATACTAAAAAAAAATTATTGTTTTGTACGTTTTAAACTGACTGTTGCTACTCATAATTAGCAATTTTTTTGAATTTCTAACGTTTTGTCAGATTATTAAATGTGGAGGTCCACATGAAAAACTTTGTCGGTTCTAGATTCCAAGTATTTTATTTCGTTGTCAGACAAAAAAATGAAAAGGGACCACTTTGTCGGTCTGTTGCAAAAGTTTCGTTTTTTTGGAAACGAAATTTCGATATTTGACGTATCAAAATTTTCAAAATTTTACAAGGAATTTGACCATATAGATAAGTCCAATAGTCCGAAAGTGGTCGCTCTTCGTGCGGACTTTCACAAAATAGTCATTTACTACTTTACCTGCGATTTTGTTTTGATGACACAAATTTACATTTTCTACTGAAATATGAAAAGTTAATATCTCTGGCCAAAAATATCTATTACTACACGGAGAAAAAGGAATAGTTGACACATCCAGATACATGGATATCACAGCCATATTATATTGAAAAATACGGGATATCCATAGTTAAGGTTGCTGCATCCATATTCTATGGCTGGCTGTATATTGTTGGAGCAGCAAAAGATCTATGGTTGGGTGATCCATAGTAATGGAAATGAGAAACAAAAAAATTTGAATCACTCAATTAATTAAATTCCATGTCACTTGAGATATTTTATACACATTTTTGTTAATTAATACACACCACTTTTTGAATAACCGCATATTTACGAAATAAATTATTAACCGATGGGGGGAGACACGAACCCTAGACCTAACGCATACTAAACACTAACGCTATCCACTACACTATACACGCAACTACAATATTTGAGCATATAATATTCCTTATATACTATACACATATTTCATGAAAATGAATTTACATAAACACTAATAGACAATAACGATAATAAATAATAAACAATTATAACACTATTTATACACAATAAACTCACAACGTGATTATATAGACGTGACAGGAAACCGACGCGACGGAAAAATTGAGACGACCATTTTTAAATGGATGCCATGATAATGAATTGCGCGCAACATGTATCGAAATTTTGAACTAACTATGGATCTCCCAACCAAAGTTTATATGGATGAGGCAGCCATATGTGAAAATCCATAGCATGAATTGTAAGCCCAACCATGCCTATGGATGTCACATCCATATTTGATTCAACAATATAATATGGCTCCCTCATCCATTGAATATGGAATGTGCTTCCATCCTAAAAGTTGTCTCTTCCATTGAATTGGATAACACAACAATATTCTGCTCAACAATATTTTTATGGATATCTCTTCCAGACCTTTTCTTTCCGTGTAATTACAATGATATCTCAATTTCCATTTTTTGTTAGACTAAAAATGTATTTTACTATTGTGACGAATTTCACAAGACTTTAAGAGGTCTACCCACTTTAGACGCGCTAAGAACCCGATTAAAAATTTGAACTCTCTTTTAGTTCTCCAAAAACCTCCCTACGGTTTGTCTCGAGTTAACTCGGGGTAAATTGACTGTACCAAAACGGTTAACCCCGAGTATATTCGGGGTAACTAAATATTTTATAACTCGTCAACAATACATCGGAATTACATAATCTAAAGTGGAAA